TTTAATAAAAATATTAACAAAAACAAAATTTTGAATTGCAATAATTAATGCAATTTTTAAATTTCTATTAGTAGTAACTAGTTTAGTTTTATTTAATCATTTGTATATAATTTATTTATTATAGTTCAATGCGCGCTTTTACTGTTAATAAACGCTTGTTAAACGCTACTTATAGTTTTAAAACTATTCAAAATTTATTAAATATTTTTAAATAAAGTTAAAGTTAAGTTTTATTGTTTTTAATTATTAATTTATTTTATATATTTTTTCCATCTATAAACTACATCACAATTATTAGAAGCTAAGTGTGTAAATATATTTATATATATATAAATATATATATTTATTATTTTAGTTATAAATTTGTATTCATATTTTATTAACTTTTCGTCATAATGTTTTTTTTTTGTGTATATAATAATTTTGTTTAAATAATCGCACAACTTTTAAATACGTTTTGAATAATATTTTAGGTTACATATAATATATATGAATATAAAATAAATTAATTTTCATGATTGAATAAGTTGCATACTAAAAGCAATTCAGGAATTACAAACGGATTAATAAATGTTTAGATTCAAATCAAGATATTGTTATTAATACATATTAGTGAACATTTAAAATATTCACAAAAAAAATGCTTGTACAATCTTATTTGCGGATATTAATTTATTTTGTTAATGTCACAAATGTCATTATTTTGCTTTTTAGTTTGAGAGTACAAAGAATAAAATTTAAAAATTTATTAAATTCACATTAATTTTCAAAAAATTTCTTAACACTTTTTTGTAAGCAACATAATAAATACAACCAAGGATGCATACTGATTTTGAATGAAATAAAAATATAGTGAAATAAATATAACAATACGTGGTTAAAAATTTAATATTATTTTTAATTTAAGGAATGTAACAATTTTTTACTATCAAAAATTCGTTGTATTCATTAAACTCCTTGTTATAAAATTTAAAAAAAGGTTCTTTTGTATAAAATTATGCCTTGTAAATTTATTATTATTTTATTTTTTTTTCTTGCGAAATATTTATTAATTTTTTCCCGAATTGCTTTAGTTTAATTACAAAATAATTTTTAAAATATTGTTAAACTAATATATATAAGTTCCATAGTTATTACATATTTATTAAATAAAGTATATAAAAACCCTGCGTGTATGCTAAAAACTATATTCTAAATTATATATGATTGTTAACAAATTATATACTATTAAAAGTTATAAAAATAATATAAAAAAAACGATGATTATATACTATAAACTTTTAGCAATATTAATAAATTTACCTATTTTTAACATTTAGTACATTATAAATAATAAACATTTAAAATTGGTAATTGATGTTTGCGCACAAAAATTTGATTTTTAATTCCTAATAGTTTGGTAGTGTAATTATACATATATAATAAATATTTAAAATTAATAGTAGATAATAAAGCATATCATAATTGTTTGTTGTATAATATATACCCACGACCTTATACAATTAGAAATTCCCTTTGAATATTTCATTTAAAAATAAAACAATTTTTTTTTAATTATTTACATTAATTTTGCAATTTTTTTAAATTTTTTGTTTTAATATCATTTACTTTAAAAATTTATAATTTAGCACTGTAATAGAACATTAAAAGAGTAAAAATTGTTTTAAAAAATCAAAAGCAACATATAATAAAGTATGCGATGCGATCTATCTATATGGACCATTAAAAGAAATAGAAATGAAGGTAGGAGTAATAAGAAGTTAAAAATAATAGATATGCACACAATATTAATTTGCTCCATTCTGTTATTCAGCATATATAGAAAAATATATAATTAATTAAATGTTTATTACGTTTCTTATATAGTCCACACTATTTCAATAATAGTTTGTCAACATGTGTGAACTGTAAGGACACAACCGAGATCATACTAAAATAAAAATCATAGCTTCGAATCTAAAGTTTTTTTCGTTCCAGTTATGAGCCCGGTTCATTAAAAAAAATATATCGGTTTGGTTTCAATTTTCGTTCCGATAAAAATATCGGTTTTTTTTAGTTTAGTTCAACTGAATCCATTTTATGAATTTGTGTTAGAAATTAGTGTTTTTGCTATGGTGAAAATCATTATATTATTTCATTTAAAAAAGAATTGTTTACGAATTCATTCAATAAAAAAAATAAAACTATACGTTCCACACAAATTCTGTTCGGTTCAGTTCCGATTTTCGTACCTGAAAATATATCTCTATGGTTGTTTCGGTTCAAAGTCTTAGTGAAACGAATCGTCTTACAATAATTTTGAGTTTATAGAGAGATACTTTATGTAGGTAGTTTTTTTTAAATATGAGCACATAAAATCCACAAATGTATGATTTTTTTTGAATTGTATTGTGTAATACCAAAGTTAGATAACTATCGAATATGATAATATGTGTAAAGAGTATTTAAGTTTTAGAATATTTTAATAATATATAAATATAATATATATGTGCTCTTAACACTACAAACTTAGAGTTTCATACAAGAGGAACCCCATAAATATAATATATATTCATACTTCATACTTGCTATCAGAGCAGCTCTAATCAAATGTTTTGAGTAAAACAATTTGTGCTATAATGCGAGAATTTCTGCAATAATTATGCTATCATTTGAGTGAGCTCAGGGGTGTAACAAGGTTTTTTTGTTTTCTTACACCGAAAGATTATAGAAGAGTTTGAAAAAAAAAAAACAAACACATGTTCTACGGCAACACCGCGAAGGGTTGCATAGTTAATAAACATTGAATTCGCTTAATGTGAAGTACGTATTTGCCTTTACGTAAGAGACTTTAAGGGTTCAGATGATTAAGTAGTTAACAAGCATTAAACTCGTTTAGTGTGAAATGTATAATACTTTATAAAGTTTCTTTTACAATATATACTATACTCAAACTTTTAGTAATTTGATTTACAGTTAAGCAATATTGTGGGCATATTTAAAATTTAAGAAAAAAAATCAATTTTATCAAATACAGACAATAGTCTTTCATATAATAGTGTTATGACAGTACTAACAGATAGTAGCAGTAAAAAAAATTTTATTAAAAATATTTTTAAAACTAAAAAGGTGAGAAATGTAAGTTTTTTAAAAAGTTTTAGTAAGATTAATCAATGGTTTATCATTATTAAAAATGTATTAAACATTTTGAAATGTAATGAACATTTTGAAATGTTACTTAATAAAATGTTCAGTATATAAAATTACAATGCCATAAAATATTTTTGTTATTTATATATTATTTGTTATAGCAGATATACTTGTTTTTAAAAACAATATAAAACATTTATTAGATGTAATTTTTTTATTTGCGCTTATTTATTAAGAGTGTAGAAAAATGCTGTAAGCATTTTTAAAACTTTTTTACTGATATATACAATAATTTGTAGTATAAAATAGATAAGATCTGTAGCTAATAAATTCATTTTTATAATATTCCACATTCACAATTAATATTTTCAATGTAACTATTTATGCTTTTTTCTAAAACATTTAAATTATAAATGTCATTTGACATTTGCAAGACTTAAACTATTGCAATGTTTTACAATTATTTGTTTAAATTCTAAATTATGTTTTTCATTGAAGTTTCTTACTGATTAAATAGTTTAAAAACACACACATTAGCTTATATATGTTTATATAATATTACGAATATTAAAAAAGAACATATGCAATATATTTATATGAAGTGCAGTAACAATTACTAATTTAATCTTTTTTAAAAGGTACCATTATTACGTTCCTAATTAATTCAAAGTGTTAAAAACGTAATTTCATATATACGTTAAAAATTTTAAAAGTTAAACACAATTAGAAATACAGAACTTCCTTACTAATTTTTGAATATAGTATTATACATTGAAACCAAAAGTGTAAATAATATTTAATATTTAAAACAATTATTGAACATAAATATCATATTATAATTAAATTGAAATCTCTTTTTTGTTTTGTTTTTTGTCTTTACTCTTAAGTTTATACTTTACGTATATTATAAGGAAATAAAATCCATTGTATAAAGGTTATGTGTTTAAAATGAAGCTGTGTTTAAAAAATTTAAGTTAAAATTACCAACTGCTTTTTATACTATGTTTTATATGTATTAATATAATAATAATAATAATCGTAATAGTAATAATTTAACACCAAGTAATTGTGTAGTATTGATCAATTTGTTATCAATTTAATCCATGAGTGCGTTATAAAATATTTCAGTTGTAATATTACATTACTAATTACGTTAATAATTAAACTTCGGTAATAAAAAATATTTTATTTTTTTAATTATTTATGAAAAGGTTATTTAATATAAATTAACAAAAAATTTCACAAATTTATTAAAATTTTATGTATTTACTACATAAAAAGGTCAATATTTTCAAGCCAAACTAAAAAAGTTTTCAATTATATTATATAAAATAGAAAATTTAAAAAATTTTACGTATGAGTACGTTTTGTTTTTGGAGGCTTGTTGCCTACATTTTGATTGAACAAATGTTCAAAACTTTGTATCGCAGTAGTATCACTGGGCAATAAGCCCTGTTGAATCATGGTAGTTTCATGCACATTAACGTTGTTAGTGTCCAAAGGCGTTACACTATCAGATAATGTATTTATACTACCAGATGTAACAGCTGCTGTTGCCTTCGAGTCTGGTAAAATGATGTCACCACTGCTATTGTTTATAAAGTTCTCACCACTGTATTGATTATTTAATGTCTGCTGTTGCATCATCATTATAATATACCACCATTGCGCTAAAAGGAGGTTTTGTTGTTGACTGTCTAAATGCTTACTCGATTCTGTTGTTGTTGTTGTTGCTGTTTGTGATGATGTTGTTGTTGTTAAATTACTAAAATAAGCACTTGGAACATCAACTGCTTTAACAAATTGTAAAAAGTTGTTGTTGTTAGTACACAACTTTTTCGTTTTAGTTTTGTTGATATTTTTTTTTATGTTGTTGTCAGAAGAATGCAGAAACGATCTAAAATAAATATATATAAAATTATTATATGATTTTACAATATTTAAGAACTGTATTTAAGATTTTAAAAACTCTATTTCTTAAATCTATTCTTTATTAATAATAAAACACATTTTTCCTTATTGACTCACTCGATATAGTTTTTTTATCAGTTAGCTTATTCTCCACCATACCATATATTTGTTGATGCGTAGTGTGCATGTTTACTAACTGCAACTTGGGCTGGACTTAAAGGTCCAAATTGGCTATACTGTGTTGGAAATTGTATGTGTGCAGGCAAAGGGTGAGATGGTATAACCTTATAGAGAAGCATATAAAAAATAGAGGATTTCGAATTATTAATTTATAAAGAAATACTTTTATAAAGTAGTGCTGCAAAGTTTCGAGCAGTTCGAATCTATTAGAAATCGAACATTGGGATCGAAAAATTTGAAGACTCGGAAATACTCGAATTTATTTTCTTTTATTTTATACAAAACGCATAACAGCATAATTTCAATCACCATATGGTGTTCGAACAAATTCGAATAGATCACTCTGTGTTCGACCCAAATGCTCCTCAAGCATTAAAACGTTTAATGGTTCCAACAGCTCGAATAATATTTGAAGCACTAATATAAATTAATATAATGTTTAGAAATTATATATTATTTCGAATATTCAAATATTTATATTTTTAAATAACATTATATTATTTTACTAATATGTAAATAGATTCTGTCAATTATTAAATCATTGTTATTCTAAAAAAAAAATTATTTTGCTTTTTACTTCTATTTAATATATGTAAAAGCAATATTTATTGAATTATTTATTTCTTAATTACATCGTTTATATGTAAAATTTACCTGACGACTTGAACTGTTATGTGCAGGCGGTGGTGCAACTACAGTACGATTATAAGCATATGTAGGTGCCGCTTGCGATACAAAAACTGTTGGTCGACGATACATGTCACCACTTTGGGCGTAAATGTCTTGCTGTAACATTGCAGCTGTTGAGACTGCAGTTGAAGATGGTGAATTTCCAATTGGTGTGTTTGATTGGTGGTGCGGCAGGTGCGACTGTTGCTGTTGTGTTTGTGATGTTTGCGTTTGTTGACGATAAACTTGTGGCGGTCCCCAAGATGGCGGACCAGCGGCAGCTGCAACCGCTGCAACTACAGTACCAACAGCTGAAGAAGATGAGCTCTTAGAATGTGCTAACGGAGGTGCAACATTTGACGATGAAGATTGTTGCATATAACCCGAAGTGCATGTTGCTGTGGAAGCTGTTGATGGCGCTTCTCGTTTATGATGTGCTGGTGGGGCTTGTGTGCTAGCAGCCCATGATGAACGCTTACTATCAACTTGTGGTTGTTGCTGTTGTTGAGGAGTGTATTCATAAAATTCAGTTGGTTCCTGTTTTGTTGGTATATGTGGTAAACTTGTATTTTGTTGTGCATTTATATTAGTACTACTGCCATTATTGTTAGAAGTTGGCATATAGCTCTCACTTTGTGCCATAGCCAATATACGTTTTTTCTGTGATTGGCCAGGCTCATATTTAACACTAGCATGCTGATAGTGAGGCTGTGACTGTGGCTGATGTTGCTGCTGCTGCTGTTGCTGCTGCTGTGGATGTTGTTGCTGTTGTTGGTGTTGATGTTGTTTAGGACTGTTGTTGGTACTGTTACTTGAAGCATGGTGACCACGTCGACGTGCATCATCGTTATCACTGTCACCTACGGTTACGCATGGTATTACTAAATGTATATGTTTGTGACGATTTGTAGTAGAATTGGAAGAGGAAGAATTTGAGGTTGAGTTAGGATTAGAGGATAAAGCAGGGGCTGAAACTATTGGATTTGCACTACCACTGTTATTGTTAGACATAGTCATGCTGCCAACAATGTGGTTATTGCCACTGCTACTATTGTAATGATGGTGGGTAGAAGTGGAAGTAGAAATGGAATTGGTGGAGGAATTTTGTAAAACGCCGCAATTACTAGCTGAATGTTGATGATTTGGTGCATGTTGCTGTTGTGGCAAATGCTGTGAATGCAATTGGTGTTGTTGGTGATGATTACTATTCGAATTAGAATGAACTAAACTATGTTGCTGTGCTGAAGAACATGTGACGGTATTAGTTAATTCAGACCCAGTTACTCCTGCACCAAAACCAGTTCCACTTCCGCTTCCTCCCGAAACGGACGCATGAGATGCTGATATTTGAGATGATGTTGATGTATATTGGTTGCTACTACTATTGTTATTACTATTATTATGGTTATTGTTATGGCTATGATTGCTATTGCTACTTGTACTAGGTTTATTAGCAATACTATGATGGTGAGAATGAATTATATTTGATGCAGAATGGTGCTGATGTTGTGCTTGCTGTGATTTTATATTAGTATTTGTTACTGCCGTTTTGACAGCAGTTGAAGATGATGTATTACCATATAATGGAACAGCCTGATGCTGCTGTTGTGACTGCATTTGCGGTTGTTGATGGTGATGGTGATGATTGTGTTGACTATGCTGTTGCACATGTTGCGAATGATGGTGTCCACTGTTACGGCAATTTAACGAAGATGACGACGTTGAGTGTTGCAGCATAGATGAAGTTGTCTGTGACTGCGCATGAGCACGTTGCTTTACAGGTGCAGCTGGAACTGGTGGTTCGTTAGCCTCATCTTCACTGTCAGATATTGTTATTACTGCGGTGGGCGAAGGTGTATCATGTATGGTTATTGTCTGTTGTTTCACAATAGCACCATGATGCTGATGTGAATGCTGATTTGGTTGCTGATGATGAGCTTGGTGGTGATGATGGTAGTTACCATTACTACCACCGTTTGCGCCACAATTATTAACAATATGATGATTACCACTACTATAGCCGGCATTATTGCTGGTAACGTGGGGCTGATTAGAAGAATTACTACTGTGGTGATGATTACTATTACCACTTGCATTTACAATATCTAAAGAATGAATTAAAGTAAACAATTGATATGACTAAATTAATATAGGATATACGTACTATTTGATGATGCGGAAGTAACAAGAGCACCACCATTTCCACTTCCACTGCTATAACCACTTACGTAGCTACAGTTGTGGTGATTATGGTACTGTGGTGAGACATGTGTAGTACGATTGTAGCGGTGCTGATGTGGTGGAGAACTCTCTTTTACTCTCTTCTTTACCGGTGACAATTGGTTATTTTCCTTTTTGTCATGACGTGGTACGCGATAAGAGTTTCCTTTGCTTCTATTGGTTAAAATATAAAGATTAATATATAATCAAATTTGATATCAACTAGAAACGTACACTAAATGATGCACTGGAGACTCCTTTTTGAGATCATTGCGTGGTATATTCAAATGATGTTTTGGATAGATTTCTTCAACATTAAGAAAAGGTGCTGAATCAACGATTAGCGAATGCGCAGGTGCCTGCTGCGGCCATGATGGTACTAGCGCCATTTGCCGACCAGTTTGCGGCCATGCTACACCGCTGGCCTGTACGCGATTAGTAAGGAGCATGCGCTGCCCGGATGTTGGTTCAACCATTGACACCGGTACTGGTACATTAACATACTGTTGAGGAGGAACCTGTTAAGTTATAATTGTAATTTTAGGTATATTTAAGATAGATTCAAGCCTGTAACTTACTTGTAATGGTGGTTGCATTGTTGCACTACCAACAACAACATGTTTGGTAGGGCTAGGCATCGCTTGGTAAGAAGGTGGACATAGTATATTGGATACCAATTGATTATGAAACGTATCGGTACGCCCTTGAGCATATTGGCGTCCAACATTTCGTCCACCATAAATCTGATAAAGCCCTTCATAAGCCAATGGACGTTCACGTACTAAACGCTGTACCTGACTTGTCAACTGATTATTAATAGTGAAAGTCATATTTTCTGTAGTGCTTGGAACAAAATTAGTGACAAGTGCTGATGTTGGCTGCACACTATTTAGAACAATAAAATTAATAACAAAAATAGATCATTTCAATTTATTCTTACGTGTGAAAATCGCCTCTTCTACAAACTTCCATCATTTGCACAGAAGCTTTAACATTATTACAATACACATAATCCACAAGATGTGTTAAACGTGTAAATGAATGACTTAAAGCCTCTGCAGGTGTTAAGCGTCTCTCTTGATCAATTGTAAGCATACGTTTTAATAAATCAATAAACTCACGACGATCGGTTTTTTCAGCCAACAACTGGCCACCTTCCAAATCAGTCGGTACGTTCACCTGCCCAATATCATCCAGACAATTAAATATGTATTTACGTGCCTCTTTACTTTTTGTATTAGTTTCAGCTTCATGCTCCTCAGTTGTCTTTAAACGCCAGAAAGGATATGTTGAATCCACATCCCGATAAAAAAATTTTGAGGTTTTAGAAGCGCTGTTGAGCATATGCTCTGTTGGCAGTCCCTGGGTTTGTGATATGTACCTTTCAAAAATATTAACATTTTTTCTAAATGTTTTTAATATTAAATATAATGTCTACCTACCTAATTTGATCAAACTCAGACGATCCGGGATATAAGGGCCAACCCAAGAATAGCTCAGCTACAACACAGCCCAATGACCACATATCAATTGCCTCACAGAAAGGCAATCCCAAAATAATTTCTGGAGCACGATAATACCGCGATTGTAAATAAGTATTACAAACTGTTTTGCTAACATGTGAAGCACTACCAAAATCAATTACTTTAACTCTATATGGTTGTCTAACAGGATCCACCAACATAATATTTTCAGGCTTTAAGTCAGCATGTATTAAACCAAGCTGCTTTAATTTTAACAATGCAGTTAGCACCTGTAAGGAAAATACAATTATAAAATCATTTATTTAATAGAAATAAATGTAATAACAAACCTGTTCCAAAATAGGACGTATATATTTTAGAGGAAGTGGTGAGAATTTATTCTGTTTAAGAAAATCATACAAATTTTGCTCAAGCATTTCAAATACCAAGCATGTATGATTTTTGTGTTGAAAACACTCAAACGCGCGCACAAAATTGAATTCATCAGCATTTTCTTGGCTCAATCGAGATAAGATGGATACTTCAATTTGACCCTGTCGTGCATATGAAGGATGATTCTTTAAAATTTTAATCGCAACAATTTCAGACGTTCCACGTTTCCAACACTTCACTACTTGTCCAAATGTTCCACGACCCAAAAATTCCAATACCTTTTCGAATATATTGAATATAAATACTGTCAGTACTATAATGTATACCATATATATAAAACCGATTTTACCTCATATTCTGCTGAGAGTGAATATAAGACCTCATGTTGTACCAATTGATAATCACCATCGGCGCCACTACTAGAACGTTTGCTGGGGGGCTGCGTATTAGCATGCCCCCCAGACGTAGCAACTTTTGTGTGCGCCGTTTTGATGCTGCTATTAGACGATGGTATTGTTACCGAATTGATGGGTTGTGCTGCAACAGACGCAGTTGTGGCACTGTTACTATTACTATGGCTATTACTATTATTTATCGCTGCAACTCCAGTAGTTGTATTCACTTCGTTATTAATGCTATTATTACTAGGTCCAACTGTATTCGAAGAATAGTATGAATCCAGACAACCACAATCACACTCTATATACAAAAAGTAGATCATATTAGTTTAATTTGATAAAATATTGAATGCAGTATTTAAGACAAAATTTTTGAAGCAATAATTTTGATTTTTATTTTTTTTAGTAAAAAAATTTTTGATTAAATTTTGCAAAAATAAAATAACGAAAAATAACATATAAACTATTTTTAAACATGAAAATGAATAATTTTACTAAATATTAATATTAAAAATTTCTGAAACTATCCACTCACGTAAAACTTTTCGAAACAACTGCAGCGAACAATATGGAAAGCGAATGATGTACTTCTCGCAGAGAACTCAGTAGGTGAAAGCATTCTGCATTCACCATTTCAAAATACATTTTATTCATTTCTACGTATATTTTTACTTTTGTATTTCCTGATTTACACAACAGAATAAAAAGAAAAAAATTATACGTACAATTTAATAAAACGACTTATCTGTTTAAATACGAAATATTTTTAAATGAACATTTATATAAATTTATAAAAGGAAGTTTTACAAGAAAATAATATAAAAATGGCGGAACAAAGGAAATTGCGCGGTTGGACAAGAAGCTTGGAAAATTGGAACTGTTGTGTTCTTTTAAATATAATTATTTCGATCTATGTGACGCATTATTTTTATAAGAATGTGACAGGTAAACGATGCTTTCAAAGTAAAACATTAATGATTTTAAAATAATTCTATTGCAATATATATATATATATAACAAAATACGGATGAATAAAAAGTATAGAACACCGAAATAAAAAATTCTATAACAATTTTAAGATAAACGATCTCTTACAAAAAAATAAAAGAAATTTTAATTTGCAGCTCGCTTCAGAGAACGATTGAAAGAAAATTATCATGATAGACAGAAAATTCTTAAGTAAAGATAAAAAGTTAATATTTAAAAAAATAAATTAATTTAAAATTTACATTTAGAAGCACAAATATCAATCTTAAAGCTATATAAGAGAAATCAGTGTTTTCATCACAACCTACAATTATGTGTAGACAATCTATCTGTCTCTATAATCATAATTAGAACTGGAGAAGATTCATCAGCTGACAAATGTTAAATCGAATTTTATACAAAACCATATTTGAAAGAGAGAAAAGCAGTTCAGAACGAAGTAAAACTAAAATTTCGTTTTTTTTTCTAATTTGTATGACTAAGATTAGCCGTAATTTTTTCTTTCAGGGTTGTAAAAAAACAACATTAAGTGCGTTTGGTAGCTTATCAGTGTGGCAAAAAAAAAACAACAAGTTCCTTGCTTAATATTGCTAATATGCATGCAAAACAACAACACTACTTTCTTTCAAATGACTCATTTCAAATCAGTGATTTAAAAGTGTTTACATTCATTGTTATTCATTTGTACTCATTTCAAACACCTGATTCGTAATTTTTTTTTGGAAAGTCATAATTTTTGTTTACATTTATTAATTAAAAATGAATATTCAAAATGAAAGATCGATTATTAAAGAGTTATTTAGGAAAAATAAATTATTTTACTTTTCAATAAATTTTCTCGACACATTACGGCAAACAATCTGAAATAAAATGCAACCACCAAATATTTGTTTATCTTTTTCTTCGCAATATGTCAAAAACAGCTTACTCAAACTCATAAAAAGCCATGGAAAACTTTTATATGGGGTATGTTCAATGTATTCATTTGCATTTGAAACGTATTTGGAACTCATTTGAAACTAGTTGAAACCCATTTCTACAAAATCAGCAATTGGAACTTATTTGCGCATATGAAATTTTTTATGCAGAAATCAGTGATTTACTTCTCATTTGTGATTTTAACCTAAATCAGTCATTTAGGGCCAGTGTAAACATTTTAACGACTGTAGAAAAAAATGTTATCAAACAATAAGCGATCTATTGTGAACTTTTATTGGAAATTTCAACCAATATTCCAATGATGTGTCAAAATTTGTAAACAAAAATTCAAATAGAATTTTAAAATTTTTAAATTGGAAAATTGTGAAAATAAAATGTTTTAAAAATATCGAAAATAATGAAAAATAATTATTTTAAAAATATGTATATAGAAATATATGAAGAATATATATTTAGGAAGCATTTAAAATTTTTAACTTATTAGTTAGTTGCTATCAAGTTTATACTTAAAACATAAAAACATAATTTTTTTTTTTTGTAAATGAATTTTCAAAATTTTGTGCATTCTTAACATTATTTATTTTTATTTTTAATTTAATATTTATTTATTTATTTATTTTTATGCAAAATGTAGTTTGCTTGCGTTTTGTGCACATATAATATATAAGATTTGCTCTTTGCGAAAATATAACATTTGACAGATTGAAAGCGTGATGTCAATATCTCGCTTAGTGCATATAGCAAGCAACTTGTTGTTTTTTACCACTCTTAAAGTTCCTGAACGCACATATTAAGTCTCGATGAAACAAATTGGCATCACTGTTAAGATATGTTAAATGCGTTTTTTGTTGCGTTGTGTACAATATGAAATATAAATACTAAAAATTAATCAATTTAAATAAAAGAAATATTGGAAGGGCAATGTTTATCATTTTTATCTTTTATATATAAATTAATTAATTTATTTATGTATTTGAATTTATTAAATAATGAAATGCTCATAAAATTTTAACGGATGACTGGAATTTTGCAACATATTTTCAGTGAACATTCACAATAGACTAATTTTTTTTAATTTGGCAACACTGAAACTTGAGACGTAAAACCTAACTCTGAAGATTTTAAGAGTATTATGATGCTTCACATGGTTTCTTTTGTAAGTTGCTAGAATTTTTTTGCTACTCTGAAAGAAAGATTTACGACTATTACTAACCAAAAGCAATGTGCTCAATTTACAAATATAATTGAATAATTGTAATTGAAAAACTAAAAGCTAATCCGTTGTCGTTTTTAAAAATACTTAGAATAAAAAATCAGTATTGTTTCTATTACTAAACCATGATTCATAGCTATCTAATATAATAATGCTAAGCCATAATAAGTTTAATATGTAGATGTCATATAAAATAATGTATTATTTATTATTTGCTATTAAACTTAGATTTAATATTATTCGAATAATTTGCATTCTAATATTTTTGAATGCAGAATATTATGATCTCAACTCTTACAAAATGACATATTCAGACTTATATTTTAATACTCGTACCTCAGTTCTCGGTAGTGTTTATAAAATTATTTTAAATTTGTTTTGTAATTTATTTCTCCAATTTAATGTTTTGCTCTAATTCACTTAAATCATATATAAAATGCTAAAGTGAAAATATACACTTTCGTTTTATTGCACAGAATATATTGAAAACACTAATGTATAAATTAAAATAAATTTCGAAATTTATGCATTTGAATAAAGTTGAAGCTGAAATTTTAGATGCAAACGACAAAAATAAAAAATTGATAAAAAGTTTCGACTTAAATTAAAAAATACAGATTAAAAAATTTTTTTTTATTTTAAGTATTTCTTTTTTATATTATATATATTATACATATTTTCAAATTGAATTCTATAACGTTTTTCTAAACTAGATGGTGTTGGTACCCATATATCTGATAACACTAATCTGATTATGTCGAACGAACATGTGCTTAAAAGGTCACATTTCAAGCTAGATTTCAGGTGGAGGCTGTTGTGTAACTGGTGTAATAAATAATATTGATTTGAAAATGAGTAAAATATGTTGTAAATACACTGTGATGTTCTAAAACTGCTGCAAAAACATCCCGAAAGATTTGTGCGGTTGATAGTGAGAATGCTGTGATTGAACCTAACAGTTCAACAGCTGAACCTAACAGCGATTTGCTCAATATATTTACGGAAATCTCGATATCAAAAATGCACCTCGCTCTAGTCAATCAGTCATTGAAAAAGCTGATGAAATTTTAAAACTGATAGAACAAAACAGATATGTAAGTTTTCAGAAGATAGCAGAGGCATTAAACATCAGCCATATGACAGTTTCAAATCATTTAAAAAGAGCAGACTAAGCACAGGCGTTCGATGTTTGAAAAACACATGAATTAACGTAAAGAAATTTGATTGATCACGTTAGCAGAGTTAAAATGCTGCTGAAATCGAATATTTTGGTGAATTAAATGCGGGAATATCGAATGCAAGCAATCATAGTCAAAGGCAGTAGACTGTATATAAACGACTTCAAATCCCCGATGGACTGCAAAACAAGGTTATGTTCAGTGTTTGATGGGATTGAAAGAGAATTTTCTATTAAGAATTGCTCACAACTTAACCACTTAATAGAAACAATCAAAGAAAATTGACCAGAATAAACCAACAGAAAATGAGTTCCACTCATTATGGTGATACCAAGCCATCTTTGATGTCTCGAAACAAATTGACAGAACTTAGTTGAGAAATTTTGTTACATCTACCGTAAAGTTAAGACTTTGCTCCGTCTGAATAGCATTTGTTATACTCGAAAAGTGTCAACCAAAACACTCCTAATGCCGACCGAAGAGCCGCTAAATATTATTTGGCCAAGTTTATTACCGGTAAACCATAGAAGTTTTATACCATAAAATTACAAAGCTATGCGAAAAATGACGCTAGGTCATACATTTTTGTTCAAAAGAACTGCGGATACTTTTTATATCGCCTAATAATATATATATATACAACCACATATAATATAAATATATTTTACAACTTTAAAAGTCAACATAATAATTGCTTAATAAGATTTAAAGAATATATATATATTTTTTATTTTTCTTTGAATAAAATTATTTACGTATTTACAAATACGCACCGCATTATAATTCAAAAAGAAACGCAAGCATTTTGTTCATTTCTATGGAATTGTTAATATATATGTATATGTTTATATGTCTATAATATGGCCAGCCAAAACAAAAGTTCTATCTATACAAACTTCGCGAAATAGATATATATTTGTAAGCATGAATATATACGCTAAAATACATCATATAAATTCATGTCCGGAAGACATAATTATATTT